CTGGAGACTTTCCAATTTGTCCACATCCCTTCTATAGTGGGGGGACCAAAACTGGACGCAGTACTCCGGGTGTGGCCTCACCAGTGCCAAATAGAGGGGAATCATCACTTCCCTCAATCTACTGGCAATGCTCCTACTAATACAGCCTAATATGCCATTGGCCTTCTTGGCAATGAGGGCACACTGCTGACTCATATCCTGTTTCTCGTCCACTGTAATCCCCAGGTCCTTTTCTGCAGAACTGCTGCTTAGCCAGTCAATCCCCAGCCTGTAGTAGTGCATGGGATTCTTCCTTCCTAAGTGCAGGACTCTGCACTTGTCCTTGTTGAACCTCATCAGATTTCTTTTGGCCCAATCCTCCAATTAGGCTGGAGGGTAGGGATCGGGTCCAGACAATCTACCTCTCCCCCCAGCTTAGTGTCATCTGTGAACTTGCTGAGGGTGCAATTAATCCCATCATCCAGATCATTGATAAAGATGTTGAACAAAACCGACCCCAGGATCGACCCCTTAACACTGGCTGCCAACTAGACATCGAGTCATTGATCACTACCTGTTGAGCCCGACAATCTAGCCAGCTTTCTATCCACCTTATAGTCCATTCATCCAATCCATACTTTTTTTAACTTGCTGGCAAGAATTCTCATTCTCAGATCTAGCACTAGCCACTGTTCTCCCTCAACCACATCCACAGATAATTCATAGACTTCCACAGGTATCTAACATGAGGTTGCATCACCCAACATAACACTCATCCAGCACGGAGGATAAAATACGGAAGCTTTACCATTGGTGTAGCAGATAGAAAGTAACAGCTCTATGCTCACTAATGTTGGTCAGTAGGGCTTAAATTAAACAGCATAAATAACATTAAAAGAGAAAACAGTTCTCAAAACTACCAGCTAATAATAGTTGGCTTTCTGGTTTAGTATCTAGAGTGGTTCAGACTCCTATATGACCACCTTCCCCTTCAGAGGGCATCAATGATTTAATAATAGGTTACACCAAAACATCTTGGTCAAGTGGATAGGATGCTAGACTCTGAAAACTTGAGTTCTGTTCCTGTCTCTACCACCAAGCTGATGGATGACTGGGGCAAGTCATTCACCTCAGTGTGCTGCAATCTTCAAATCTGTAAAATGGGGATAATGATATATAGTCTTCTTTGTCAAACTCTTTGAGATCTCTGGAGGAGAGCAATATAAGGAGCTAAATATTATCAGCATCATATTAAAAAGACCTCCTTAAGCAGAGTTTCTGAAGTGTAAGGGCTCAAAGTTCCTCTAAGGAACTCCTGAACAATTGTTGGCAGGGGCATCAGAAAGCAGGGCGCAGCAGGGAAATGCAGTGTGAGCTCCATGTCTACTGTCATCTGTGGATGTGGTTGAGGGAGGACAGTGGCTAGTGCTAGATCTGGGAGTGAGGGGAATAAATGGGCGATAAGGAGAGGGTAGGATCTGCAGCTGGGACACTGGAGTCGGGCACTGACTGGGAGGAGGAGGTGCTGACTTGGGGAAAGGACACTGGCTTTTTAATAGAGAGCAGGAGAAGGTTCTGAGTGTGTGGAAATGGAAGGAACAGTAGTGCTCCTGAAGACAAGAGAGGCTGCCCAAAGTGTAGGGTTGCCTGGCATATTAGTGGAGGTAGGGGTGGACTGTGAGGATGAAGTACATCCCATGCAATATACCTGGAGTACCCCTGAGTTTCAGGTTAAAATAGTTTTGTACTTGGGTATGTAGGAAAAACTATTAAAATCTGCTTTAAACAAAATACTAAAGGCATCCTCCGGTGTTGCTGCAGGGGAATTACCTTCCATTACGAAAGGGAGAGAGATCTTATGGTAGGGACATGTTCAGAATGTCCTCTGATGGAAAGCACACAAAAGGGCATTAAATAAATGTTATTTCTTGAGCACTGGGAGTGTGTGTGGTGGTGTCCAGACAGAGGAAGACATAATCCTTACCCAAAACAGCTACCAATCTAGATCAGAAAGGAATGGACACAAACTGAGAGAAGACAGTGATTCCAAAGTAAGTGCCAGATCCTGAGCATGGCTCTGGATCTGGCCCCAAAGCTCTCTCTCTATCTGTCCTTAATTCACCTTGTTGGGTTTACAGTGGCATGGAAAATGGTGTCCTTGTACAAAGTGGAGCGAGGAGTGGCTCCCTTGCATTATGTACATGAAATGGAAGGAGTAGGGGATGACTGGCTTAATTACCTCTGATGTTACCACATATTGGGCAGGAGTAGGGGAGAGACCCAGTGTACAAAGCAAGAACCATACGGTGGGTGGGGGAGGGGATGGAGGTGGGGAAAGAGAAAATGGGGAGTCAGAAGGAGTAGAGCAGCCACAAGGGGGAATGTGGGGAGACATGACTTCTAATAGTTACTGTAATTATATAGGAAGTACAGAAGAGAAAAGATCAAGAGGGAAAGATGGAAGAAAAGAAAACAGAATGGGGGAGAGGAGGAGGAGAGAGTGGAAGGCATATTATAAGGCAATGTAGCACAGGTCATGCCAGTCTAACTGCTAGACTAATATGTTATAAAAATACTACAAGGACAGGAGGAGGATCTATTACAAGTTTATGTAACATAATTCTTCAGACCTGATCATTTCCTATGTATTCTTGTTCCTTTATGCATGTGATCCGAATTTGTTATCTGAATATTCTAACATCTAAAATGTTCTTGGATTACACGTTCATTAAATATATCTAGATGACTCTCGTAGTATTATAGACATATTTCAGCATGTCTCGTTATCAGTTATGCTCAAATCTCTCATAGGGATGTGTGTTCTATAATAAAAACAGAAGAGTACTAGTAATTCAGGGATCTAAAATAGTTTATACTTCTCACTGCTGCAAAGAATTTTACACTTGAGCCAAGTGTAACATAAAGCTACATCCTGTGATTGGGGAAGAGACTGCAGTGAGAGTGACTTACCAGATCTATAAACAACTGGAAGCATCTTGAATGACATTTGTTTATACCAAAAATCTGTCCCTTTTTTTTCAGCATAGCCTCTTAATAAAGACTGATGACCCTTCAATTGTATAGCACTTCCTGTGTGCATTCCAATGTAAACTTACTAAAACTAGACAACTTTCAGTTTTTAAAATAGATTCTTTTTTTCAAATGTCAACTTAAAATTCATGTACTTGCCAGTAGATAACTTGATAACCCTGCATTAAAGCCCTCTAAATAGAAATACTTCTCACAGGGAGAACAACCAGTTTAATAAAGTAACTTTGCTATTATCCTTCTGCAAAACAGCATCTAGGAAGCTCCAAATACAGTCACATTTTTTTCCATGCAGAACATGCTATTTTTATGTATCGTGTGACTCTCTCAGCATTTGTAGTCCCCCCTCCCCACACATATTGCTGTGCACACACAGTGTGTTACTCAAATACCAATAGAATCAGATTGCTATCGTGACATTCTGACACATCTGGGTAATGTTAGAACAATGAAACATTCAGCCAGTTGGGGAGGTTCATGAGTGCGGGACACTGAACTTTCATAGGAGCTGGCTCTAGATTAATGAAACTCACTCCTGCAAGGGATAAGAGTGACCATAGAATGAACTGCTTCCAAAACAAAATGCTAAACTCACAACATAAGTCTTAGTCTATGGAGGTGAGGGGGAAGTTTCTCTCTCCCCAGTCTCCAGGTACCCTGGCACCTAGATTATTTATTTGAGTTTAGCAGAGGGAGAGTGTTTATCCCTACATACTGCTGGCACCAGCCTCTGTGTCAAACATCAGAAAACCGGTGAGGGGTGTTGCCTGTGTTTCACGGGTGATACTATCCTACTGCTCCTCTGCTGGTGCATACAGGACTCTCTGCTGCCCCTCCATATGACTAAGGGCATGGAGCACATAGGAAGCATGGCTAGCCTATGTGGAAAGAGGATGAGTCTGGTGACACCTGTCTCAGGTGAGGTTGCTCATCACCCTGTGGTGAATCCCCGATAGAAATGGCCCTCATGCTTTACTCAGGCTATTTTAGCATGGTTTCTGAGCTTCTCTTCTCCCTTAAAGTAAGTTACTTTACTGGCCCAGCACAGCTGGCATAAAGACAGTGTCACACTCTGGTGTGTCTAGCTGCTTGCAGAGTAGTGCTGCTGCCTAGTGTCCACTTGCACCCGCTCCCAGGTCAGCATCCTCCTCCCCTCAACCATCTTGAATACTAGTCTTACTTCACTCTCCCACTCCACCAACTGGGAAGACTTCAGTCCAACCTCTCCTTTCATCTGAACAACCACATCCTCTGCGCTAGTTCTCAGCCCTCCCTCCCCCCGGCTGCTCTCTCTCCTCCTCTATGCTGCCTGACAGACTTGACATCAGTGGTAGTGGGTAGAGGAGCCTTTCCTGGCTCCTTCCTTCTGCTCTCTTGACTTCACTTCCCCACCCCATAAAAGTTACATATCATGTTATTGTTTATTAAGCACTGGCCATATGCTTGTACAAAACACGAACAAGGACATAGACCTTGCCTTGCGAAGCTCAGGCTGTGAAGACAAAGTATGGGGCTTTTGAGAGCCTCTTGAATTCTGAGAGATTGCGTGACTGAATCTTAGTGGACCAGCACCCATAGACACCTCCCATTGTCCTCCCTCCTCTTATCCCCACACCAGCTGATGAGAACAGAATCCCTTTTACTGGGCTCTTAGGCTGTTTGTACATCTTCAGTTTTTGATAGTGGAGAGGGGAGCAGTTGTAGAAAACTTTGCATTGTGTCTCATGCATTTGGTTCTACTTCTTTGGCCTGGTTCTGTGTGAAGATCCTGGGCCTGAGGAGCATTTAGCCCTAAAGATCCAGTGTTTGAGAACTAGACAATTAAGTACCTCAATCCTCACTTTTATATTCTTGAAAATCTTCATTTGGTTTGGTATCTAAGATGATAGCATGGTTTTGTGAAAAATAACAACAGTGTCTCATGATCCTATCTTGTCTTATGGGTGTTGTCTTTGCATTCTGTTTTCTGTTAGATCGAAGACTCCATTCTTAAGTACTTTGGGAGTCATACAAGAAGAGCAATTTTGTACGTTCCTCCTTCCCGTGGTAAAAAAGAACTTCAGCTATATCAGCGCATCCTAGCACAATACGGATATACAGTGACAGTCCTTGAAGACAGGAAACTGATTGTAGGCCTTGGACATGAGCACCACTACCAAGGTAAGAATGATGAGAAACAAATTATTACTGAAGTTTTGTCAGTAATCCCATTCATTCAGAATATCCATCATTGAATCTAATTTATAAACTTTATAAACCAATTTGACTAGGGGCTTAAAGTCACAATCTGGTCTTGTCCAGTCACAAAGATGCTTACTTTTCCACATAGGGACGCTCCTTCTATCAATTGCTTGCTTTTTAACTCCACCCCAGCTCTGTTATTCATCCTAGCCCAGGAAGTCAGTTCTGCTGTAGTATCTGAGTGCCTTCCGTTACAGCATTAAGTGTCAATCTGTCAGGTGTGGTTCTTTCTCTTACCCCCTCCCGAGGAGAACTGTGTGTGCAGTATACATTTGCTGTTTGGGTAGGATTTTTGTATGTTTTTAAACGTGCACACTGTTTTGTGTTTGTTAGAGATGGCAAGGTCGAAGAAATGTGCCTTGCACATGGAGTGGATGGTGGTGGGTTTTGTAATGGTCCTTAGTTTCTGTGGGAATTTGTTTCACAATTTGAGACTAGCCCTTGCACAAATGAGCTGTACCCTTATGGTAGAAAGTTTCATTGTGCCTGAGGGGGGGACAGCCACAGTCTTCAGCCTGAACCTTTGGATGGTCTTTTAGGTGTGTGGGGCCCAGGCCATTGAGGGCCTTGAAGATAAGGATCAAGACTGTGATCTTGAATCTCTATTCTATAGGAAGCCAGTGTAGAAGCTGGAGAAAGAGATCACCCAGTACTCTGTCAATGGAAGAAAATGACAGTTCTGGTATTTTTATTATGTGGTTTGTTGTTCCTTATTGTAAAGAATAATTATATTCTTGTCATTCATACTTGCAGAAACTTCCTGCAGTTATCAGATACCTCACTGTTGCTTTATTATTTAACTAATCTCAGTTGGATAACGTGAAAATTATTCTGTATATTCTGTGGGGCTGCTTAGAACACACTGTATTGAACACAGCAAATTTCCAGTATTATTTTAGGTTAAGTTTTATAGGTAAGTTTTAAAGATTTTTTTTAAGGTAAGGTGTATACATTTTCCCTGATGAGCTGCCTCCTGTATTAGAATATGGAGCGTTAGCCATGTCTTGCTTTAAAAAAAAAATCTGGTTTCTCAGCTCTGACATCTCCCACTCACTACCTGCCATCAGTACACATCACTTCAGTGACAAGACACAGCACATCTGCAGCCCACGCTGATGCCAGATGGATTTAGCTACAAAGTGGTGTGCAGTTCAGCCAACATCCCATTCTCTGGGGATCATGTAAAGCACATCTGTGACATCCTTTTTTTGGCTTAACTGGCTGATGGCGCAGGGTTCACTTAAAACTGCTGTAGAGGTAAACAAACCGGCTGCAGATTTCAGATTTTCTGTAGATATTTATATTTTTACATCCTGTGCCAATAATCCCTGCACTATTTTTTCCCAGTAATGGGAACAAAAATAGCAAAAGTGCTTTATACACTTTCCATCACTGTCCAGATGTACCTGCAACTTTCAGCATATGTTAGCGGTATAGAATAAATGGAACAAACAGCAGTTTAATGTAAAGAGTAAGAGCCTTCTAATTCCATTAGATAGCAGCATAGACTATTTTAACTGCTTCCAGGATTGTATATATTCCTAGCTTTAAGGTTATGTTGTTATTGTTTTTAAAGTAAAAAGTAAAAGAACATGTCTACATTCCAAACTGATGATCTTAGCCTAGAGCTGAAGAAGTTATAACTGGAATTATTTTCCTCTTGCTGGTAAATGATGTTTTCTAGTGTGCTGTGTGGTGTAGTACTGTACACTGTATTCTGGAGAAAGCTATTTTGAATTATGTTATGTCATAACATTTTCCTAACAAGACTGCTATAATTTATAAAAATGTGTTCCTTGGAGGCACTATTAAAAAGATACAGATAATAGACTGAGAAATATAGATCACAAATATTGTGGAAAAATCTATAAAAAGAATACTCCTCCTTACCTGTTCTAATTTAGTGCCTTGGTCTGGTGCTTTTATTTTTGTGCAGTTTCAGGTTTTGAAAATCTGTGGTGTTCCTGTAACTTTCATAGTTCAGACTGATTTCTTTAGGATTTCTGTTTATGCTGGCTGTGAGCCAAAGGGCCTAGCGGTAGTCATATATGGAAAAAAATCACTACAAAACATTCCTAACTTTTTTGTGCTGATTAATAATTAATTTTGGGGACAGTTATACTCCCATGTGAAGTCCAAATACAGCTGATAAACTGGAACTCCATAAGGGTCAGAGTCCTTTTCAACACCTGGGTGGCAGTCGCTACTCCAGCTTCCTGACTGCTTCGTAGAGAAGGTAGAAAAAATGGTTTCTTTTTGTGGAAAAGTCTGGCTTTTTGTCAAAAACCAAAATGTCTCTGGCATCTGTAAAATATCTGGGTTTTGGACAATTTTTTTGAGGGGGGGCAGGGGGGTTAGGGTTTCTGATGACAAATCCATCAGATACTGCTTTCTGCAAAAAATGTTTATTTAGTCAAAAACCCAATTTTCCATTGGAAAAAAAGTTTTCAACTGGAAAGAAATGTTCAACTATCCATGCTGCACTAGCTTCACTCTTTTTGTGCCTCTAACCCCACATGAAGGGAATGGCCAGTGGATCCATGAAGTCAGGGATCCACTATTCTGCTTCTGCCCATGAACTGCTTTAAGTCTTCTCTTTGCACCAGCCCAGCATGAGCCCCTACACACGTAAAGGATACACACATCCTGAGTGAGCTCCTGCCTTGCCTCACTGCTGCTCTCACCCCATATGACAGGGCCCCCGGTGCTGCTGAGGAAGGACAGAATTTGCTGTCTTGTTTCCAATGGGATGTTCAAGTTTTGTTCAATATGTCTGCCACAATGGGCTCGCCTCCCTTGCCTGTCAATCAGGCACATGGTAGTTGTTGTAGTAACCAAGCAAGGTACTAACAAACTTCAACAGGACTTTATTTTTAAAGTGAAAACCTCTTTACCAAGCTGCTGCTGCACCCTCGGTAGCTCTCACTCAGCCTCCTTCACTCCTCCCCCCTCCTTCTGTTTCCTGTCCTTTCAGACTCCCAACAGCCAGTGCTCCCAGTTCTAATAATTACAAGCAATATCTAAACACCACAGTAGTCTCTTTGGATAGAACTTTTCATTGCAACCAGATCTCCTCCTTCAGGCAAGTTACCTCAGTTCCTTCAGTGTGAGGCAAGAAGTAGCAGCCTCTGGCTGAAGTGCCATTTTTGCCACAGCCTCAACCTGTGTTTGGAACCAGCATCTTGGAGCTGCAAGGAAAAGAGTAAAAGGATTAGAATAAGCAGGAGAGAGTGCTCCATCCATGCCTCTCCTCTCCAGCTTTCCACATTGAGCCTTTCTGCACTGTGTGCCAGGGGCCTTCTTCTCACAAGTGCAGAGCTGCTCAACTGCAGCGAATAGGGATGAACAGGGGACTGAACTACACTTCAGGGCCCTGGCAGAGTCTCAGACTCTTCTTCCAGCATTCTCTGCTGTTCCTTCCCTCCCTTCCTTGTGGGGAAATCTCTTATCCTTGGAGCTATAATGAGAATTAACAGGGCCTGTGTGGACTCAGTGCTTAGTGATGTGCTGCCAAAATTTTAACCAGGACCTCCTTCAAAAACTCTCTGCCTCACGCAGCAATTCATGAGACTAAAATGCATTTCCATCTTCCATAAATTCATTTGTTCCATATTTTCCTCCTGCTACCTGAAAAAAATCAAATCTACACTCTCCCCTCCTGTCTCATCCCCTAAAATTAATAAATTACTTGAGTCCCTCCTCCCAAATCCATCAGTTTTTCCATACTTTGATCAGTACTTTTGCAGCCCCCTTTTTAGTCTGCTCCCTTCCTTTATCAATTTTGCACCCACAGATCAGACATCTGTGAATTCACATGTCTCAGGTCATTTTAGGCTCAGAAAGGGAGACTGGATTTAAGCTGCCTGGCCCATCATTTTTAATGTACCTTTTGTAATAAGCTGCAAAATCCCCACATTATGTCTAGCCTTTGGATTGGTTGAGATGTTGCGTGTCCCTCATGTTAGCCAGTCAGTTTGCCCATGCGAAAAAATGCATCCCAACTGACTACAGCTGAGTTTAGTGTAATTCTAACTTCATCATCTCCCCACCTCATTTGAATGTTAGTTTCACTAACCTGCAGGAAGTTTATGCAGTTATAATGGGTACCTTTAAAAAAACAAACAATCAAATACCATTCCATGGTACTGACTTTACAATACCATGACAATTGACTATGGATGCCCGTCAAAAAGTAAATCTAAGTTAGGTTTACTTTATGAGTCCCTCCATAGTTGATGAAATTCTAGCCCAGCTTTTGGAATGATTATTACAATTTATATATTGACTTCTTTGTTGGTTATTTATTGTCCTGTAAGGCAACTATTGACTTGAGCTTTGCTTTGATTGATATTTACCTCTTACCTCTTGGGTCATTGAATCTTGATGTTCATTGCAACCAAAATCAATATCTGCTTCAGATTTTATTAATTCATTTGGGGTAGTTCAATGGAGATTCCTCACCATATATATCTTTAAAATTTACATGTGTTGCAGACTGTGTTAGGGTTTTCTTTTCTAACTTTGTCCTTCCAGTGATTTTGTTATTCTCCCTCATATTTTCTTCCAATTTAAGAAAGCCCTGTATGACTGTGTACAGCAGCTTTGTACACAAGCTCTGCTTCTAACAACCAACTCTGGGGAAGATCAGGTCTGGTGCAGATGGTGGGAGGAGTGAGATTGTGGAGCTTGCTCTGAGCAAACCTGAATTAATTTTGGCCTGTCTCCATTTCTGGCTGAGGCCATGGAGGTCGTTGTGGCTATGAGGTAGCAGTAATTCCCCATCTCTCTCTTGGTATTATTTAGCCCTTTATCAACATTATTACCCCTGTAGTAATTATTTAGCCCTGTGGTAGGCAAATGTTATTATTTCCATTTTACAGATGGAGACATTAGGACAAAAGTTAAGACTTGACTAATGC